CGCGGGACGTGGGCCCCCCCCCCGGGCCCCCCCGCCGGGGGCAGCCGCACGTGCCGCGGCCACATCCTGCCCAGCAAGGTCCTGCGTGTCCTTCAGGACCTGCTGGTGGCAGCCATCGTACACTGCAGACACCATGGGCTCATCGCGCCAGGTAGGGGCGTGTCCGCTGGGGCGGCTGCGTGCGCAGGTGTGCTCTGGGGTGACCGAGCACGCGTGTGCATGTGTGTCCAACCGCTGTCCACGTGTGCGCATGGGTGCTGAGTGCCCTGTGTGTGGCTGTGAGCACGTGTGCAGGCGTGTGACCGTGGTGCCGCTGTGCACGTCCCGGGCATGCCAGTTGGGAGACGCCGTCTTGTGGCCCTTCCACGAAGCTCTGCGAGGACAGGGTGTGGCATTGGCCGGCTCCGCACAGCAGTCTGGGCAGACGCGTGTGGGATGTCCCTTTCTCCATGTCTGGAGGAGCCCTGCCAGTGTGTCGTTCTGCTGGCGGGCAAGGGTCCTGGCACGTCCCTGGTCAGCCTTTCACCAGGGGCTGCCTGGGTCCTGTGGAGCTGGGGGACCCCGAGTGATGAGGCTGTCCTCTGGGTCAGTGCGAGGACACTGGGTGTTCCGGCAGGACCGAAACAGGACGTCGTGCTTTTCTGGGAGAGGCTGGCCTGTGACCGTGGTGGCAGCACTTCCTCCCCAGGAAGTGCTGTGCGAGTCACCTCCCTGGTATTCATCTGACTCTCGCATCCGCCCAGACCAGCTGCTGGGAAGCGGCTCACCTTCCTGGGGCCAGGGGCCTGCTGGGGCTGCCCAGCCTGTGGGCCCACTAGCGGCAGCCCACCCTCGCCCCGGTGCTCCCTGTGGACTCTGGAAAGGGGTGCCTGGTCTGCGAACTGGACTGGGTCCTAGGCCTCTGCGTGGGTGGCCTCCCAGGATTCAGTGCCGGTGACACCTCTGTGTCATCAGGGCTGTGGCTCTTGGCCCTCCCTGCCAGCCCCTCCCTGCCCCAGCCCTGGCCATCTCGTCTGGTCACCTCTGACCCCTCTAATCACTGTGGGTGGGCAGCCTGATGGGACGTTCCTGTCCTCGGGCCTGGGCCCAGCTGGGAGACAGGCCAGCTGTAGCACCTCACAGTCCTGGTCGGGAATGCCCCCGGCCTGTGCCACTCCCGCCACTTACCTTAAAGGGGAAGCGCGGCCCCGGGCTGTCCCCACCCTGGGAACTGGGGAGACCAGCCCAGGCAGCAGAGGGTGTGGCTGGCCACCTTCCCAGCA